ATAATTAGTGTGCGGACCATTTTCATTTATATAATGCCCTGTGAACACAAATTAGTTAGCATAAATAAATTAAATGACGAAAAATTAGGTCTCTATTTATTTGTGACCACTCAGTGTATTTCTTAGATTAATAAAGAGAGGTAAAAATTAAACTTTGGAAAATTTTATCGCAGTTGACAGGATTCGAACCTATGTGGGGTCTTCCCCCATTGGATTTCGAATTCAACGCCTTAACCACTCGGCCACAACTGCTATGTCTTTCAGTAATAAACCAAAATAACACAAGTTTAAATTCAAAACTTTTTTATCTATTTTTTAGAAGACTATCTAGTAATTTTAGTCTATTCACAAGGTAAATATTTTCGTACTTTACAGCTTTATTAGACGAGAGTTAACAATTAACTGGAAGCATATGTATTATTGATCTTGTACTTTCTTTGTTACTCTTGTGGTTGCTGTTTGGCACGTAAGTCTGGTATTCATACCTATTGCTTGACAGCAAATGATAAATTTTATGTTTTACTTTATTTTCTCACTAGCGTATAGCCCGTCAAAAATGACTTGGCAAGTACTACCATCCCCACCCCATAGTATACTCTAACCTCACATTACATAGGTAACTTATATAAATAAATTTTACGAAATCAAGCTTCATCAACAAAGTGCAGTCGAGGCAATCAAATGTTAGTAAATTCCTTTGTGAGCCAATCAAATTTAATATCATTCATGAAATGAATTTGTGCTGTATTCACTATTATTATATTCACTATATTATTCTGCTTATTTGTATGTACGGCTGTTACGCTTTCTGACCGAGAACCAGCTGCATAAGCATACATAGTTAGAATATTTCCCCAAGAAAAACCTCGCATGCACATTATTCACTCGACGACAAACAGTATGCCTGCGGCAGAGAGCTGCAAAGCTCAATGATCAAGTTGCTACAATTGCTGTATGAAACGAGAAGTAACAACAAAAGGGGAATATAAATATACTTTACTTACCATTTTGTACAACAGAATATTAAAAACTTATCAAAGTTTTTAAAAAAGGTTTGACGTTAGGTCATAGAATAATGTTACGTCTCTGTGTTCGTTTGTTAATTTTCCGTAGAAATTCTTTCCGAGGAACTTCAGCGATACAAGTCCTTTCTTAAATAAAACTATTTTATTCTTTCTCAATTCAACTTTGCAATACACTTTAATTTCGACAGTCACTTTAAACACACGCTATAATTCACAATGATTTATGCACTTACTTACGTTCACTACCGCGCTTGACTCAATTGTCCATCTATATCTCTGCCTGTCTGCAGTACAATTGTTGCCGTCACTTTTTACCGCTCTTATATATACAAAAAGCGTACATCTGGAGAACACTCGAGACTTCGCGAACGGACATGATCTTTCTAGAAGCTCATGACGTGTTACTAGCGTCACATGACTTCCGCTGTCGTAACACTGCCCCTTCCTTAGTATTGTTTGTCCCGAACAATAGCCTCTTAAGTTAAACCAATTGATAATTAACAATAACTTAATTAAATGTTCAGGATTTACAAACACAAAATTATAATACAAAATTATAAAACTGTGTGTATCAATCTTATTGACAAATATCATAAACTGATTATATATCGGCTTTTACTTAAATGCTAAATCCAAAATATAATTTAACCACTAAATTTAAAGTATCATTTAACTCGGTTTCAGACCATTTGAAATTCTAATAGGTAACATAATAAATTTGGGGCTCGTGTCCGAGATCTGAATCAGACAAAATTCAATCTAAATTAAAATTCAACTCATAATTGAATTTATATTTATCAGTGCTAACAAGATTTGATCGTGTCTGATTATCAAGATTTTCTTGAATCACCCTCCCTTGAACAACTAGAAAAAATATAAAAAAAAAATGAATTGCTCGAAATTTCCAAAGTTTTAGAACTAGAAGTTAAAAGATCAATGAGAAAACATGAACTAAAAAGGCGTATCATCGAAATACTAGTCGATAATGATTTGTTTCCTGAGGAAGTATTAGAAGAATACTTTAGTGTACCTACTAGCCAATCGGGGTTGAGTGATAAAGGTAAATTAGAAATTCAGCTAAAACTCAAACAACTCGAGCTCGAACAAGCTCGTATCGAAGCCGAGAAGGAGAAAGAACAAGCTCGAATAGAAGCCAAGAAAGAGAAAGAACAAGCTGGTATTGAAGCAGAAAGATAAAATAAACGTCTCGAGGCCGAACAAGCTCGTATTGAAGCTGAAGGAGATAATATACGTCTTGAGTCCGAAAAAGCCCGCATTGAAGCTGAAAAAGAAATTAGGCTGAAAGAAATGGAAATTAGACTCAACGCTGATTGACAAAGGCAAAATGACAACTTTGAACTTAATCGATATGTTAAAGTACCACCATTTAATGAAAATTAAGTTGATAAATATTTCCACTATTTTGAGAAGATCGCCAAAACCATGGAATGGCCCACTGAAACATGGTAATTATTATTACAAAGTGTCTTAACTGGTAAAGCAAAAGAAGCTTATGCCACTCTCTCTTTAGAAGATTGTACGAATTATGATACGGTTAAAGCAGTTATTCTCAAAGCATACAAGTTAGTACGGAGGCTTATCGCCAAAAGTTTAGAGGTTATTCCAAACAAGATAATCAAACTTATATGGAATTTGTCCACGAAAAAGACGTTTATTTTCATCGATGGTGCAATTTTATACATATTGGCAACAGTTTCGACAAACTAGGACAATTATGTCTAATTGAGGAATTTAAACGTTG